AAGAGTTGGAAGTGTTCAGGTGAGAGGTTTCCCCATGTGATAAAAGAGGCAAAAAGCAGTTATTGCTTCATATATACTTTGCCCTAATGCCATTGCTTAAAAGGAATATTTGTATGGCATTTTTCTTTGCCAGTGGAGTTGCAATGCGACAAGATTGCATCTGTATTTCATTTATATTTTAGTTGTGATAGCATTGAGTTTGTGAATGTTGGATCTCAAGTGCTTAGCTCCTCACTGTCTTAGCTGTACACAAAACACCCTTTTGATTAAAATATTTCTCATCCACTTTAACCCTCTGAACCTCGAGACAACATTAATGTTCTTTTCCACGTTTTTTTAGGGAAAAAATCCCTTTAAAGTTTCCCACATTTAACTGGATAAACTGTTCTGAGTTTTAATTGCTAAATTGTCCTGTGCAGACTTTCTCCACATTTTAGTAGACATATATGAACCCAATTTTGCATAGGATTGTGCTATCAGTTTTCTTTAAAATATTCACTTGGAGACATAATTTTAGTGCATGTTTTTTGTAATCTTCAAGTTTGGCTGTCCGTGAACCACACTTTATAGAATGGTTATTATTTTGCTTTGTCATTCCCCAAAGGGATGCACACTTAATACAGGAAGAGTTGCTCTTCTGTATCTGAAACTTAACATCAGGGGCATTTCTTTGTCTCCTTCCAGAACACATTAACATCAGAAGAAAAGGAAGAACTGAAAGAGTATCCGTATGAGCTCCAAGGCAAAGGAGCCAAAGAAGAGTATAAAGGCCAGAAACTGCAATGTGGAGAAGTATTGCCTGTAATATTGAAAAGATGGTTGTTTTTGTTAAAGGAAAGTAAAAAAAAGTTTTCCTACATCTTGTGGTTAGTGAATGTCAAATTGCTTTGAATTATGGCACTAGCATCTTGTCTGCCGTCAGGTTTTGTTTTTTTTAATGGTGGACTCTGCCTGCCTCCTTTTGTGGAATAAAGAGGATGAGAGGAAAAGAAGAGTCAAGCGGTTGTTGCCGATTGTTTTTGCAGTCACTCCATCTGTTCCAAAGTGAAAACCTGCAGTTTTGCCTCTGATTCCCATGTTTGTAAAGCTGCAGTCTCCATCTCATTAGAAAAGCTGCTTGTGGATGGTGGGGAGGGGGTCAGAAGCAGGAGTAACTGGGTGTTTCACAAGCAGTTTACATTGCATTCTGGGAAGCTGCTGCTAGGAAAAAAGGTAGACACCCTATTCTTTGCACTCACCTATTCTGCATTTCGCAGTAGGGTATGGCAATGCAAGATGAGGGGCCGTAGCTCAGTGACAGGTTCAGTCCCTAGCACCACCAATTAAAAGGACCAATTAGTAGGCGATGTGAAAGACCACTACCAGAGACCCTGGAGAACTGCCGTCAGTCTGGCTAGGCAGTGCTGACCTTGGTAGGCCACTGGTATGATTCAGTACAAAGCAGTAATCATGTATTAATCATTCCCTGCATATAGAAAATTAAGTGTATGAAGTGCTAAACTAGAACCTTTCTGCTCCATGTGCTTTTTCTTATTTGCTGGGATTTTTTTACATACAGGGATGAGCATTATTACTGCACTGCCCTGCTACCACTTGTCTGATATAGTACAGGCCAAATTTAGAGTCCAGTGGCACCTTTTTGAAAGACCACTACCAGAGACCCTGGAGAACTGCCGTCAGTCTGGCTAGGCAGTGCTGACCTTGGTAGGCCACTGGTATGATTCAGTACAAAGCAGTAATCATGTATTAATCATTCCCTGCATATAGAAAATTAAGTGTATGAAGTGCTAAACTAGAACCTTTCTGCTCCATGTGCTTTTTCTTATTTGCTGGGATTTTTTTACATACAGGGATGAGCATTATTACTGCACTGCCCTGCTACCACTTGTCTGATATAGTACAGGCCAAATTTAGAGTCCAGTGGCACCTTTAAGACCAACAAAGTTTTATTTAGAGCATGAGCTTTCATGTGCATGGACACTCATACTTTGAATAAAACTTTGTTCGTCTTAAAGGTGCCACTGGATTCTAGATTTGTTCTACTGCTTCCAACACAGCTGACCTCCTGGACATATAGTACAGGACATTCAGCCACCTTGTTCTGTTCAACCTTTGGGCTAAGCATCTGACTTCCTACATTTAGTTTGGTTGTTTTCCGGACATGATTGTTTTGGGTGTGACCTTTTGACTGAAATAAGGGACTACTGGGGTCACTCAGTTTCAACTATCCACAACAGAAAGCTGTCCATGGTGCTGAACCTGGAGGCTAGGCAGATGCTTCCCATTAAACTTAAAAGTCAACTACCTCTCCTTCTAATCATCAGAAGCCCCAGTGCTAATTTGGCCAAGCGTATCCCCAGCCTTAAATTGTTGGGTGTGATAAAAGTGTTCCAAGCTCAGCATTAGGTGACCAGGATCCTGGCCTAGGAAATCTAATATTCTTCTCACTCCATAAAAACAAGATTGGAGGTGGAGAGTTTTGGAACAATGGAAAAATAAAAATAGTATTTTGATACTTTTCTAGTTGGTTACACACTCCTCTGACTTACGAAGAGCAGTCCACACCAAAAAAAAAAAGCCAGTTGCCACCTAGGAGATTTCTTATTCATTAGGAATCCTTTTCCATCTGAAGTGGAAATACATAATCGTTATGAGTTTCAGCAGTCTTAACAGTATAACCATGGGCAACATAAGTCTGATTCTGTTTTTCTTTGTTTATGGTACCTTTCAGTGGAAGGAAAGGGCATTCCAGACATGTGTAGTAGGATGACAGTTTATTTCATCACACTGCTTGCAAAGCAGGAAGAACTGCAAAAAAAGGACACTCAGAGAATGGTACTGACCAGGACAAGATGGGAAGAAAGGAAGCTTATTTACAGTTCCATGAGCTTTGTCAGGACAGTAATAAAATTCTCTAAATGGTCACTGTTGACATCTTGAGACCTGAAGGGAGAAAAAAGAGAAGAGGCAGTAGTCATAGATCTCTGCTTTCTCCTCAGGGTATCTGCTCAAATGGATAAGAGTGGTTGGATCCACATAGGTTTGGTAATGGATACAGCCGGTGTGGTGTGGCAGTTAAAGTATTAGAATAAGACAGGCGAGACCCAGCTTCCACTCCCCACATAGCCATGATGTTCACTGGATGCCTGTGGGCCAGTCATTGAGCCACATCTACTTCGCAGGGTTGCTATAATGATAAAGTGGGGAGGAGAGAATCCTCTATGTTACACTTGGAGGAAGGGAAGCATACAAGGGTATTGTATTTATCTCCTGAAGCGTCTGTTAAAATATGGGACAACTGCTTCCTTGTGTTGACTGAATTCTAAGGTGGTATACACTCCTTAAATTGGAGGAAGAAAAAGAACTTGTGAAAAGGTGAAACTTAAGAGGATCACTGACAGTGAAGTGAGCTCAAACCATGATTGAAAGGAGAAGAGGAAGGAACACAACCTCTGAGGAAAGAAGAAAGAGCAAACATTTGTAGACAACAATGTAAAAAGATCCATAAGGAATAGATGCACATAGGATGCCAACCACAGCACAGGGGAAATATTAAGTGACTAAAAACTTTAAAGTATAAAAGAACATAAGAGAAGCCAATGTTGGATCAGGCCAATTGTCCATCTAGTCCAACACTCTGTCACACAGTGGCCAAAAATACCAGGGGCCATCAGGAGGTTCAGCAATGGGGCCAGGACACTAGAAACCCTCCCACTGTTGCCCCCCCCCCAAGCACCAAGAATACAGAGCATCACTTGCCCCAGCCTGAGGGTTCCTATCTATACCTTGTGGCTAATAACCACTGATGGACTTCTGCTCCATATGCTTATCTAATGCCCTCTTGAAGCTGTCCATGCTTGTAGCCGCTGCCACCTCCTGTGGCAGTGAATTCCATGTGTTAATCACTCTTTTGGTGAAGAAGTACTTCCTTTTATCTGTTCTAACCCAACTGCTCAGCAATTTCATTGAGTGCCCATGAGTTCTTGTATTGTGAGAAAGGAAGAAAAGTACTTCTTGCTCTACCCCATGCATAGTCTTATAAACCTCGATCATGTCACCCCTCAGCCGTCGTTTCTCCAAGCTAAAGAGCCCCAAGTATTTTAACCTTCATAGGGAAAGTGTTCCAACCCTTTTATCATTCCAGTTGCCCTTTTCTGCACTTTTTTCTAATGCTATAATATCCTTTTTGAGGTGTGGTGACCAGAACTGTACACAGTACTCCAAATGAGGTCGCACCACTGATTTACACAGGGACATTATGATACTGGCTGATTTGTTTTCAATTCCCTTCCTAATAATCCCCAGCATAGCATTGGCCTTTTTTATTGCAGTTGCACACTGTCTAGACATTTTCATTGAGTTATCTACCACGACTCCAAGATCTCTCTCTGGGTCAGTCTCTACCACATTGAACCCCATTTGCCACATTGACTCCCACTTGCCCATCCTCGACAGATCCCTTTGGAGTGCCTCACATTCCTCCCTGGTTCTTGCCACCCTGAACAACTTCATGTCATCTGCAAATTTAGCCACTTCACTGATTACTCCCAAATCATTAATGAACAAGTTAAAAAGCATCGGACCCAGTACTGATCCCTGTGGTACCCACTGCTTACCACCCTCCACTGAGAAAATTGCCCATTTATACTCACTCTCTGTTTCCTATTAATTATCCAGTTTTTGATCCACAAGAGGACTTGTCCTTTTATCCCGTGACTATTGAGCTTACTTAGGAGCCTTTGATGAGGAACTTTATCAAAAGCTTTCCGGAAGTCAAGGTTTCCACAAACTTACCCAGTATTGATGTCAGACTGACTGGCCTGTAATTTCCTGGATCTCCTCTGGAACCCTTTTTAAAGATGGGAGTGACATTTGCTACCTTCCAGTCCTCAGGAATGGAGGCAGATTTTAAGGAAAGATTACATATTTTTGTCAGGAGAGCCACAAGTTCACATTTGAGTTCTTTCAGAACTCTTGGATGTATGCCATCCAGGCCTGGTGATTTATCAGTTTTTAAGTTGTCTAGCAGTCTTAGGACCTCCTCTCTTGTCACCTCAATCTGACTCAGGTCATTCAACACCCCTCCTGAAATCAGCGGTTCTGGAGTGGGCAAGCACTTCTCATCTTCCACAGTAAAGACAGAGGCAAAAAATGCCTTCAACTTCTCAGCCATTTCCCTATCATCCTTCACTACTCTTTTTACCCCTTGGTCATCCAAGGGCCCCACTGCCTCCCTGGCTGGTTTCCTGCTTCTAATGTATTTGAAGAAAGTTTTATTGTTGATCTTTATGTTTTTTGCTATATGTTCCTTATATTCCCTTTTTGCCTGCCTGATCACAGACTTGCATTTTATTGGCCACAGCCGGTGTTCCCTTTTATCAACCTCACTGAGACTAGCTTTCCACCACTTCAAGGAATCCTTCTTACCTTTTACAGCTTCCATTTTACAGCTTCCGGAAGAGCACACTGCACATTATCATCTTAATATATGCACTTGTTATATTGTATGAACAGGGGCACTGCATGTATTTAGCACATGCATAGAGCTTCTGTACATGTAAACTGACCACTGGCTACTATATTGCGGGTGGGGGGTAATATTGCCATATGAAATATAAGCTGTTTTGAAGACCATATGGTTAAAAAATGGGCTCTAAATCAAATAATTACATAAACACTTGATGGCTCCAGTATGCTTAACTGGCTCAAAGCTGAGCCAGCAAGACAAATTTTGGAAACCGCAGCAGCAGCTTGGACAGCTAGAATAGTGGATAAGGAGGATGTCGCCTTAAAATCCCCTAATCCCCTTTTTGCTGCTGTGGAAAGATGTATTTTCAGCAACCACTGTAGCAATGGCAGAATAACAGGCGTCCAGGAGACCAGCTTAACATGGCCCTTCCTGGCACTCATTTCTGGTCCTGAGAGATTCTGAACTGCCAACTTACTGGCAAACCAGAGTCATCTTGGGGACCTACAGCAACCGAGACATTCTAGATGACTTAATGCTTGGATTGTATTTTTTGAGCAGCCTTGAGTACTTTTCATGGGGAAAGTGTTGTTTTAAAATGACAAGTCATTCTGATGCATTCAGGCAGAAGTGAATTGGCTGGTCCCTTTATTAAATTGGTTGGAGAAACTCTGACTAAAACGCATAATGGCAGTTTCTCAGTTTTCCTGCTCAAAATCTCTGGGGGAGGCAGTAATAAAGACCATTTTATTAATTATGTAAAGTTTGCCTCCAAGAATACCCTGAGTGAGAAGCTGTAAACAATTGTATTTAAGTCCGTAGCTGTATGATAAATGTTGGCCAGGAGTACTTCTAAAAATGTAATGTGCATGATCGACAGCCTTATATTTTCCTTACTGACCTTTGGTTCTGCAACATGGCTCCCAGAAAATTCCTCAATACCATCTGCTGATGGTAGCCACTGTCCATAAGAATGCTGTCAGACTGGCGTCTGGTCAAGAATTCATGTTCCACATCTCCTGTGCGGCCTTCACTGCAAAGTAAAGGAAACCAGTGTGGTGTAGAGGATCAACCTGTATCAGAGAGACTGGGTTCAAGTCCCTGCTCAGTCTTGAAGCTCCCAAGAGGACTTAAGTTCAAGTCACTCTCAATGTTCCCAAAAGGGTTATTGTAAAGAATTAAAGGGGATAACTCTGGAAACTCTAAGGAGCTTCTTGGAGGAAGGGTAAAGATGCAAATGTCATTGATACACTGAAAGGTGTGCTGTTGTGGACTGAGACACTTTAAATTGCTTTAAGAATGGTGATGGAACAGTGTCACCTAGTTGTTTCAGTAACTCAGGCTGAAATGGGGGGGGGATAACAATCTTGTGCACTGTCAGATCGTACTAAAAAGTACAGAAAACAGCACATGGTCATCACCTTCTTGGACTGCCCCTTCAGAATGATGATTTAAATACTTCCTCTTTGTGTGTTTTCTTTACAAAAGTCTCCCTGCATGTGGAAAGCTAGCATTACCATGCACTCATCATATATCCTACCTTTCCTCCAAGGAGCTCAGAATGACACACATGGACATGGGTGATCCTATCCCCTCCTCCTTAACAACCATTTGAGTCTGCTCAGGCTGCATTTCTCCAGCAGGGATCTGAATCCTGACTTCCCCTGTCCATTACAACACTCTTGCATTTTATCAAGGGGGGGGGAAGGGATCTGCACATTTGAATACACCCTTATTATGACAAGAGTTTGCTCCTAAACAAGAGATTTCTTCCATCTGCACCTTTAATGTTATTCCAAAATGGCATTTACCCATTGCTGACCCTTCATCCTATGGCTGTTACCTGCTTCCTAGCCCTTAAGATAGGACAATAATTGTGATGAATGTGATTGGGGTGCAATACTGGGGTTTCTCAAGGGTCAACATAGGTCTTCAGGAATTATGTTTGACAGACCTGCATTAAGTAACAATAGGGGTTATCACAATAAATGGTGATAAAGCTCTACTTACCCATGTCTTTTGCCAAAAATTGCCTGTAAGGCCTTCCGGGCTGAGATCTTGCCCTGGACTTTCCGGAAATTGTTGGTAAATATGGCATCTGCATGACGCTGCATCCTAACAACAACATATGGGCACATTCACCCTGATGCAATTGCTCCTTGGACCCATGGGACCCCTATATAAACAACGACTTTTAACTTTCACTTTTGGTGAATACCTGGAAGTGGTGTCATGTCACGCTAGGATTTGGACTAAGCTCTATGGTCTTACCCACTGCACAATCATCCCCTTTCCCCCCCACATCCCCATTTCATCAAGGAAACAGCATGAGGGAAGATGGGTTAGCGCCTTTCAGCCCCCTGAAGCTGTGTTCTGTTAAATAGCTGGGGAAAACAAAACACAAAACTATGCAGTAGTAGTATTTCTCTCTGAGCTATCTAATCAGGATCAAAGTAAGTCCCTTCTTACCCTGCAGGACTGTTAATATCACTCTTAGGTTCTGCCTTCCCTAATCTAGAAAGGAGCAAGTCCAGAAAGGGCATGGACTCATGGCTACTTTTTCAGGTGGCAATGTCTTACTCTTTTTGATTTCTCTGGTGTGTTTTTTCTGAAAGAATGAAAAATCCAGTGGACAATGTCATTAGCTCTCCTTGACTACCGCAGCTACTGCTTTCAAAACAACCACTTTGGAGTGGTGGCTTGGGAGCACGAATACACCCACCTTTTCTCAGCAGGGTCAGTGAGGAAGTTCTCCTCCTCCTGTTCTTCCACTGAGAGATTGTGACTCTGCACTGGGCCGCTTTCCTGAAGTTGAAAGCTCACTGCCTTGCCTGAAATGGGCAGTGGAGTATACCTAAAGGCAAATGAGACAAAACAGTACTGAAGACACCCGGAACACAAACATATGCCTCTCGTTCCATATCCATGAATGAGTGAGATGACAACTGCTAAGGAATCCTGCTTTGCCCTGATCCTGCTTTACGGGGAGGGCGGGGTATACATTTGACTATAAATAAATAAAATAAATATTTTTACGGGTTTGTGTTCTTATAAAGGCAACCAGACTCCTTTCATCACAAAGTGGAGGCTTCTGCAGCTGTGCTAGTTTGAAAATTTTAATAATTTTTACCGTTGTTTCATTATTTTGCCATGTTTTACTTCCTAAACTGCTTCGAGCAGGGTCAGAGACCTATAAATATTTTAAATAAATACATCCGATCCAAAATTAGACTCAGTTGAAAGTGAAACAGGTGTGCTGTGTAGGATTGGCCTAAAAAGAGCCCCCCATTGGTATGTTGTTACAGCTGCTAAAGTAGAGCAGAAATACCTTTGGATTGTGGGGAGAGATAAGGGCTACTGTTACAACTTGGCATTCTAAAGTACCCTTTTGATAGTGTCGGATTTGGGGGCACCTTTAAAGAGCCGCAAAATTATTTGATTAATTGCCATTGGAGGGGTGTACCCCTTGGATTTTCTGCCTTAGACTCTAAAATATAATGGGTCATCTCGGGGGGGTGGGGTGGCAATTTTGGATTTGGGAAGAAGGAAACTTTAGAATTTCTGGTGTTTACAGCATCAGGAGACTACAGAGTGTGCTGCAGCCTGGTGAAGGTGACTGAAGAAACTTGAGGACTACTGACTTGTGGAGGAGTCTGCTTGCTATGGTGTTTTCAAATATTTATGGCCCTCTTTTTGCCCCAGGGGGGACCCAAAGCAGCTTACAGTATCATGCTCCCCTTTATCCTCACAACAGCCCTCTGGGGAAGGTTAGGCTGAGTGTGTGACTGGCCCAAGGTCACCCAATGAGCTTCTTTGGCAGAGTGGGAGTTTGAAGTCCTGGTCTCCCAGACCCAACACACTACATCATGCTAGCCTGCTGCTCTCCTCTGTTTGACCAATATTTTGTAAATAAACTGATGAGACAAAAGCAGTGCCAGTCTCAAGTACACTTTCCTCATGAGGAAAATGACCATTTAAGAAACAAACTTGGACTTCCTACACATTGAGAAAGCCTGAGACAATATTTGGACTAGGCAGGTAAGTGGGGGGAAACACCCACCTGAGTGATGGGTAGAGAGGTGACGAGAGAGAGCACATGACAAAATGGAGGAGCAAGAGGAGAAATGCCCTGTCCAGCATTATTCACCCTTCTGGTACAGTCTGTTAAAGAAGAGAGAGAAACTAGCATTGATTAGAATACCAAAGGCAGCCTTAGAGCCGCTATCACCAGGGGGGAGGTGGCTTTGCTGTTAGTCCAAGCTCTGCTAAGTTGGTTTCATTTTTCTTAGTTTGAAATATGAGACCCAGCAGATAGATGATGATTCTTTTGACTCTTCAATCAGAGGGAAACAAATCAAATCCCTGCTGTGATCTCTGCAATCCAATGCATAGTTAGTAAAGGTAAAGGTTCCCTTGCTCGAAAGCCAGTCGAATCCAACTCTAGGGTTGAGGTGCTCATCTCCGTTTCAAAGCCGAAGAGCCAGCGCTGCCTGAAGACATTTCCATGGTCATGTGGCCGGCATGACTAAACACCAAGGCGCACGGAACGCTGTTACCTTCCCACCGAAGTGGTATCTATGATTATCTACTTGCAACTTCTTGCTTTCGAACTGCTAGGTTGGCAGGAGCTGGAACTAGAGATGGGAGCTCACTCCATCATGCGGCACCTGGGTCTCGAACTGCTGAACTACTGACCTTCCACAGCCTGCAGTTCAGCGTCTTAACCACTTGAGCCACCACAGCACAGCACACCACACCACACCACAGCATAGTTACTTGAAAGCAAATTCTATAATAGAGCATATATCCTAGAATATATGTATGGGACTTATAGCACATGTGGGGTTTACTTCCTAGGGTACACTCTTGTTCTTCTGAAACGTGGGCCTATTGCAGAAAGACACACACACATACTACTGCGGGGGGGAATGGACATAGTCATTATCACTTAAATAATATTTTTCTGCCCCTTTAATGGTATTCCAAAAATTGGTATTCAATTGGTATTGCACTCCGCCTAATGGTAGAGCCAGCCCTGTCCCCCCAGTTGTTTGTCAGCGAACTGCTGAACTACTGACCTTCCACAGCCTGCAGTTCAGCGTCTTAACCACTTGAGCCACCACAGCACAGCACACCACACCACACCACAGCATAGTTACTTGAAAGCAAATTCTATAATAGAGCATATATCCTAGAATATATGTATGGGACTTCTAGCACATGTGGGGTTTACTTCCTAGGGTACACTTGTTCTTCTGAAACGTGGGCCTATTGCAGAAAGACACACACAAATACTATTGCGGGGGGAAAATGGACATAGTAATTATCACTTAAATAATATTTTTCTGCCCGTTAATGGTATTCCAAAAATTGGTATTCAAGGCATACACTTGCACTCCGCCTAATGGTAGAGTCAGCCCTGTCCCCCCAGTTGTTTGTCAGCATGGCTAGAAAGATGCATGCAGATCTAGCCTTGAGCAGGATTTTCGTCTGGTATTCTAGAAGGAATCAGGTTGTTGCTATTGTTGAGATAAAGTGGTGCAGGATCCCATAAGTAATACCGAGGAAGGCCCTGATCTCAGAGAAAACATTATTTCTTTGTGAACAGGACAACAAAGCTTCTCAGACTGCAGGCCTGGAAAAGGTGAGTTTCCTTTATGGAACCAAACAGGCACAATGAGGACGACCATTTGCCCACCTAGCCAGAAGGGGCAAGATAGATGGCTATTTGGATATCCTGAGTGGGGTCATAAAAGAGTTGCAACATGTGCCTTCATTTGATTGGAGAAGGGATGCAGAGCAGTACACATGGGACCCATTCCCAACTTCATAATAGGTTAAAGTGAAACCCACCCATGTGGGACAGGAAGGGTTAAAAATCTGGATACTATGTCAGACGTGTACAAGCTACAGTTTGGGAACAGGAAGCAAATGGAGTGAAGTCTGCCTTGACTAGCTTCTATTTTCAGAGTTCCCGAACAGTTCCTGTGTTCTTGTGCTCTAATGACCAGATACTGTATTTTGGTAAAGATGGCTTCCTTTTCAAAGATCTCAGACTGTGGTCATAGATACCACCTATGCTCTTGACTGCTCATTCCACGCATAAACCAGTAACGTCTGACTGGGCTACACATAGTTAGCTGGCCAGGGGTGAGGGGATGCCGGAGACAGTATGTGGACGCCGCCCCTATGACTCAAGCTGGGGGTAGAAAGAGGAAGGGCACACACAGCTTGAGTGGTGACATGCCCTCCCATGGGGCAGGAAGGGAGGAGTCCAATGGGGCAAGCCCTCTCTTTCACACAGGCGGTTTCTCCTCTCCCTTTTTGAGGAAGAAAACATAGCAAAGGAAGGGGAGAAGGGGAACTCTTTCACTGTTATCACATTAACTGAGTGAGAAAAGGGTGACAGAAAGAAAAGAGGGGGAGAGAGCATTTCTCAAGTGTGGTTCTGGTTCTCTTCCACAACCATCGCAAATGGGACACTGAGTATCGCAAACTAGGTGCCGCAAGGGACACAATCATGGAAGAGAAAACTATTTTGAATGTCATAAAATGTGAAGGGATAGGGGAGCTGGTCACAGAATGAGGTGCTACAGAATCATGGGCTGTTGCCTCTCCCCCTCCCACCACTTGCCTTCATTCTCATTCCCTACTTCCAGCAGTTGGTCCATGAGAACAGTCTGGGATCTCCTACTAGCCCGATCTCATCAGATCTCGGAAGCTTAACAGGGTTGGCCCTAGTTAGTATGTAGAATGCCAGGGTCTCTGTGCAGAGGAAGGCAATGGCAAAGCCACCTCTGAATGTCTCTTGCCTAGAAAATCCTACAGGGTCACCACAGGTCAGCTGCAACTGGACAGCACTTTACACACACACACACTCCTGTTGTACTAGTGAAGCTAAGCTGGTGTGAACTGGATATGTGCCTGGATGGAAGACCACTGGGAGCTCCACAGAAGCCACTCTTAGGCTTTCTAAAAGAAGAGTAGTGATAATCACAATAATGATGCCTCTTCTGTTAAAGAACAAAGTTTGTATCCTGCATCCTGATGTTCTAGAGGTTAAGGAGAAGATTTTTCAGGTTCTTCTTCCACGCAGAGCTGATTTGACAGCCCTGCAAAGTCTTATTTCTGAAACTGAAAAGTGTTCAATGTTATTTTCACCTTGGCTTTCGGGAAGGAGAGAGATGTACTGACCAGAGCATAATTCAAAAGAAAATTCGACGGCATAGTTAAAATGTTTAGTCTATTCCCCAAAGACAAATTCACCCAATGTACTTAGTAGCACTTTTGAAATCAGCCTCTGCACTAGTATAATATGGCTGAAGAAAAAAACAGAAAGATGATGTAAAGAACGACAGGTAGATGTTTATTAATTGTGCCACAGATTGGGGGGGGGGCTAATCTGTCTGGAAAATAGCACAAAAAGGGATGGAATTAATTATGATCTGCTAGGCACTTCAGTCACGTAGATTTAAACAATTTATGCCATGCATGTCAGATGAAGACAGCAATTCTAAGTATATTTACTTGGAAATTAATCTCACTCAGATCCATGGGGCTTACCTTGGTTAAACTGTAGCAACACACCAACAACATGTCATATACAAAATAAGTTCAGAAAGATGGAATCAATTCCAGTACGGTAACCAGGTTATGCAGGATCAACACAAAGTTTAGAGCAGATGAAATTAGTCTTTGAGGGGTTTTACGTCAAAAATGTACACATTCAGATAGAAAGATTCTTGAGCAAGATGTCAAGCCTCTTGTTTCCTCTCCTGTCTAGAAAACCAGACGTATTTTCAACCTCTTCTGTTTCTCCATAACCAGATTTGTAACTAGCATTGTAGTATAAATGACTGATCAGTGTCAAGAGTTTTAACAAAACAAATTAACATATCAACAGCAGAATCTTTACATCATTATGAATAGGACTGCAACATACAGCCCAATCCTATGGATATTTCTTCAGAAATAAATCCAAATGAGTTTTATTCCCAAGCAAGTATACATAGGACTGCATTCTTAGCCAGCCAACAAAGTTCCATGTGGTTAGGGAAATATAACTTTTACACCCATTTCCCCACCAGTTCAGTAAAAAAACTCTATGCATGGCACCAAACTTACAGTTGCCTTCAAGAATGGTGTCCGCTCAAGTCTGAAAACTCTTCCTGTCTTTCCTGATGGTCAGTTTCCCCCCCACTTCTTGCCAAGTATCCCAGGAAAACAGAGAGAATTATTTCTAGTTACTCCTAATTAGAGGAGCTGGTCTCTCACCGATGTGGGTATTGCTTCCCTGTCTTTTATACCTTCTCTCCCACAGGGAACCTGCAAGCTCTTGAACGTCAGAGGATCAATTACCTCCCAGTCATTCAAAGGACTGTGCTTAGAATCCCCTGCTTTGCAAACAAGGGTGCATGCAGGTGTGGAGAGCTTGCGCTAACCGCCTGAGGGTGGTTGGCATACAAATAATAATAATAATAATTAATAATTAGGCAGACCAAAGGCCAAATTTGCTTTGTTAGGCAAATAAGCTTCTGAAAAATAGCAATTTTTGAAACATGAAAGCCAACAATGGGGGCAACGTTAACCATTAATATCATCTCCTGCCTTTTTATGACAAGATTCTCTCTGTGGCGTATTCTGTTCCTTTTGATTATCAACACTTCCTTCCTTTGCTTTTGTGGCTCACACCTGCCGGTGTCTGTCGGGCAGTTAATGCTTCAGCCTTTTGCAAACAGTGATGGACAAATACAACACCTGGAGAGCGTCTCTGTGGGCAAAGTGAAGGCCTTGTTCAGCCAGTTGTACATAAGAAGAAGAAAAAGAAGAGAAGAGATTGGATTTATACCCCGCCCTTCCCCTCCCCACAACAGACACCCTGTGAGGTAGGTGGGGTTGAGAGAGCTCTGACAGAAACTGCTGTTTTTCAAGAACAGCTGTGCAAGAACTATGGCTTGCCCATGGTCATCCAGCAGCTGCAAGTGGAGGAATGGGGAATCAAACCCAGTTCTCCCAGATTAGAGTCCGTACACTTAACCACTACACCAAATCAGTAAGGTTGTTACATTCGATGAGCCACTGGGGTGCAGGGGTTAGAGCGTTGGACTAGGATTGGGGAGACCCAGGTTTGAATCCCCACT